AATCGTTCCAAAAATAACTATTTCAATAATATTGGAGAAAAACAATTTTTAATTAACCACCTCCACGGTGGCCACAATTTTATCTCAAACTTAAATAAAAATATTATGCTTAGTCCACAATTCATCTCATTCTATCATTAAAACATTTTAGTAATAATTATTCTAAAAAAAATAAATAAATAAATAATATAAATCAAAATTGGACAAAAAAAACCATTTAAATCTATCAAATTACTTTAAAAACATTGGAGGGTGTAACTGTTTACCTCAATAACTATATTTCAAAATATAATTACCACACAGCTACTTGAAACCTAAATGAACATCAAGTATACATAATTCAATCACCAAGTAAAATTCATCCTGTACTTATCAGGCATCTACTAAAATAATTCTATAATCCATACCACTATCATTCTCTTCCTCAAATACAACTATTCCAATACACATTATTAGAAACTAACCACTTTAATAAATAATTCCCCCCCTCTTTAAAAATTCATCATGTTACCACCCAAATTCACAATCTTATTATCAATACCAAAATCCATTTGCTACAATAAAATTAATTTCCCGACCATGCTTCTATCCATTCTCTTCATTTCAAATTCCTAAATATTTCAAATTTTAGAAGATAAATTACCTTAGATTTAGTCTAATATGGCCAAATCCCTAAAGTTCAATTCTCCTTGCAGGCGAGAGAAGAAGACGATCCTGTTCACTAGAAAAGAAAGAAAATTGAAACTGCAAATTGAATCTGATTTGGGTTTTCACAAAAAGGAAATATTTCCACTTAGTCCCTAAGTTTTAACTATAAGGTTCTAATCCTTGAGTTCCTCACCTTATTATAATTTTAACCCAAATTTAATCTTATCACATATACACCCTCTAGAAGCTTAAATAATTTATTTAAATCTAAAGTAAGAAATCCTTGGGCATTACAATGACATCCCATAAATAAAAAAATAGCCATGTAGAAGTAATATTGAATGAGTAAATATATAACTCATATTAAGTGAAAAAAGTTAATAAAAATTATTGTATATCATGTTTAAAAATTAAATTTTTTTAACAAATTAGGTTTTTAGGCCTAATAGTTCTCTCTTAACCCTTAGTATTTGAGTTTAGTTAATCAAGATTTTAACTTCCACCAACGATTTGAAAAATCCCTTCATCCCTTATGATTTTGCATTAAAAAAAAAGAATAATTTTTTTTAATATATGTTTTAAGAATATAGATGAAGTGTGCAATTATTATATTTTTATTTTAATTAATATAAAAAAATAAAAATTCACTTTTATTTAATTAATTGTCTAATTAAAATAGTATATATGACATTAATTGATATTAATGGTGAAACTAATATTAATTTATGTATTTTTCAATACTAACTAATAAATTAAAGTTTAGATAATAAAAATATAACTTTTTTTTATTTAAAAATATAAATTTTTAAAATTTTTAAATCAAGAAATAAACATTAATTTTTTTATTTAATGATACAAAATTTACCTTATTTCGGTTAAAATTTTCATTTGTTACATTATCAATAATGCGCGGATTATAACGTGAATTTAATTTTATCACTTTCATTATACAGTTACTATTGAATATTTTATTATTTTTTAATGTCAAGAATCACAATGTTGTGATTTTTTTCCTTTTCCATAATAAAAAACTAAAAAGATTGAAAGAGATGAAAAGGTAATTGATAACAGGTACAACAATCTCCTACCTTGCCTCGGTGAATTCAATAATGCACACGCGAGTCATTTTCCTTTCTCTTTTTTGTCCATTACACTACGTACTAAGTTTTGTTTTTTGATGGGACAAGGTAACTGTTTGAAATGTTTACAAGGGGAGAGGATAAAGGAGAACTTGAATCTTGCCCATATATGTAAGAAAGGGCATTTTATTTTTTTTTTTTTCAAAAGGTTATTTTTTGGGGGAAAGATTTGGCCCCACCCATGAAGTTAGGTGATGCACATTGTTACCAATCCACCTACAAGGTCACGTGTGTGAAAGGGCCTTTTATTGTCTATTATGATTTGATTTGTTAGTTGTTGTGTCGTTGTTACATTGTAACAAAGTTCATCATAATTGGATTGCTTACAAATTAATCTTGACCATATATATGAGAAATTAATTTTTTTTAATGCACTAGATAATTTTGAAGGATGTACTTTTATAATTGTTGAAAAAAAATTAATTTTAAGATGTGTAAAAATTAACTTAAAAATATTGTGATGATAAATAAAAAAATAATTTTTTTAATATATTCTTAAGATAGAGGTTAAAGAAATAATTAATATACCTTTTTAGTATTAATGTCATATGTTTTAATTTAGTTAATTAATTATTAAAATTAAAATTAAATTTTATTCTTTTTACATAATCTAATAATAAAAATATATTAATTACTTTCTCAATTTGTGTGACAAGGTGGACAAGTAAAAAACCCATAAAAATAATTAGTTCAAATCCAATTAGAGCTGTCAGGCTCTGGCTCATCATGATCCTGAATACGATGAAAGTGACACACAAATCCGTTCTTTGGCCCAGAAACAGGGTTGAGATTACTCCACCAACCACCGCAGCACACCATTTCCTCCCACGGATTCCCAAACCTTCTGTTGCGCCCATATAGTTTGCATGAATTTAATTTAGTCTTCCTTGAATCTGGACCAAACTTGGGTGGAATTTTTGACTTGAGTTGAGTTGAGGAGCCTCATCTCGTTAATTGCCTTGTCCAATGCCAAGGGGGCGGCCCTCCTCACAATGAGAATTATTTAATGAAAGTAATTCTCTTTGCACATGGACCACGCCATGTGTACACATGCAGTGTTGTCATTCGATTAAATTTTATTACCACTAAAGTACATTTAGTAAATCCTAATTTTTTTTTAATTTATACATAGAGATTTAATTAAATTTTAAATTTATAGCTGAAAATATATGTAAAAAGACGTACATATATATATAGTTGATATATATATGTTGCTTAATTCCTAACCAAGTATCTCATAATTAATTTTGATATGTAGAGTCAATTCTTGATAAATTTAGGAAAGCCTCCTTAATCATGTACCTTTAGCTTTAGGACCACAAGGTCCACAAGCACATATACACCAACCCGTGGCTACCTGGTCTTAGAGCTGGACCCCATATTTTTGCATATTTTTCTTTCTTCATATAATTTGCCTAACCTACCCCTAATATTAGCATTTATTATTACATCATGGAAAATATAAAAAACTCTTCTAACTGAGGGTTAGTTAATAAAAACAACTAATAGGATCTAGCTATATACCTAGTTAATTAAAAGGTAATTCTGACTTGGAATAGTGACAATTTATCACGAGGCCTCGAGACACATGTAAGGTTGCCTCCCCGGCTGCCGCATTAGGGTGCACGATGGGCCAGCAATATGTATATTAACGTCGTGGTAGCACTCCCATATGGGATCTTGATTCATTAAGTTAGCTCATTGGAAGATGAGATGTGTCCAATCAGAGGCAGTCAGCACATGCAATGCGAAGGAAGATTGGATACTACTCCGCAATAACTGTAACCACATTCCCATTCGATCCTATTCTTATAAATAAAGATAACCCCAGAAGATGATGCTTGCATGAATTTCAACACATGTCTGACGTGTTGTCCTCCAGTTGGCTGTTGGAAAGAGAAACCACACCCCCACTCCGCCTACTTATTGAGAAGCAACTTGGCTTAATTTCCTCCATCCATCCGTTTTAGTAGTTAGCACTAGCTACTGGATCTGTTTCCTTGATCTCTTCATTTCATCTCATCTGAGGTACGGTCCAGATCTGGGCCTAGCGCAACCATGGCTGAGAAGGAGGCAAAGGTTTGTGCTGATGCTGATGAACCCACGCCGGCTCCCATTGATTTCTTTCTTAATTTATATCTTCTCTTTTTGTGGCTGTACAATTATCTCTTTTTTTTTTTTGAAAATGATATATGGGTGGATCTATATTTTGGTTTCTGCCTTTTCTCTTTTTGTGAAGAATCAGAACCTGAATCTTCTTCGTCTTTCCATTCATTAATTTTCTCTGATTCTGATCAATGATTTATTGTCTTTCATACAGGTGACAACAATGGTGCTGAAAGTGGACCTGAAGTGCCCAGACTGCTACAAGAAGGTCAAGAAAGTTCTCTGTAAATACCCTCGTGAGTGATCTCTATCTTTTTAATTTCTTCAATTCTAGCTTCTCTTTTATTTATTTTTTTCTTTTCTAGTACATGTATGTATAAAATTGAGAGAAATAGACTGAGTTGCTTCTTAATTAATTATGTTGTGAACAAGAGAAATACGAGACCAGGTGTATGATGAGAAGGAAAACAAGGTAATAATCAAGGTGGTGTGCTGCTCGCCGGAGAAGATCCGAGACAAGTTATGCTCCAAAGGTGGTCGATCCATTGAGAGCATTGAGATAAAAAAAGAGCCCGAAAAGAAACCCGAAAAAGAGAAGCCGAAGGGGGAAGAGAAGAAACCGGAGAAAAAACCCGACGAAAAGCAACCCGACAAAAAACCTGAAGAAAAGCCGCCTGCTGGAAAACCCAAAGAGGCCGAGAAGCCTAAGGAGTCGGAAAAGAAACCGGAAAAAGAGAAACCCAAAGAGGGAGAGAAGCAGGCTGCCAAGCAACCGGCAGAAGCCCCGGTTCCAACGGCCATTCCGATTCTCTTGCCGCCATTGGCATATCCGGCAATGGGGTTTAGTTGTCCTGAATGCTACAGAAGTGGAACACCGGGAGGCCCATGTTTCCACGGCGGGACGGTAGTCCAATATGATGGGTATTATGGGAGACCGGTTTATGACAGCTGGGGCGGCGGCGGCGGCTACAGAGGTGGTTATGGGAACAGGTACGATTACTTTAGTGAAGAGAATCAACAGGGCTGCTCAATCATGTAAACATGCCGCGCCGATCAATGTCATTGAAGACATCAATCACGATCATCTTCTCGTTATTACCTCTATTGTATGATGCATATGTGAGAGTCTATTTTGGTTTTTTTAATTTCCCTCTATCATTAAAATTAAGAATAATAGTAAAGGTTTCATTATCATATAGAATGTAAGAGATAATTAATAAAAGAATGTAACAAATGCTCATTTTCATGCTCATATATATATAATTGTATTAGAAAATGTTATTGTTTATTTACAAGTAAATAAAATCAATGTTTTAGTATTATATGAATTTGAATGCTATTGTATTGATGACTCAAAAATAAACCTTTTGAAGTTGTTAAGTGTAAACTTGACTAAGTGATATTTCAATGAAGTAGGTATTTATCTCAAGATTTATAGTCTTAACCACGTTTTTTCATCCGTTGAAATATATATTCTTTGAAGAAAACTTTGTCGGTATCAATTTTCATATATAGTAGATTCAAAAGATAAGCGTCTAATAATAGTGATGGCTATATTTAAAGATTTGTACCTATCTATATTTAGGGATGATTTGATTGAGAAAACAACATTGAAAGAAGCATCTAACCACGTCACGTTTTGATCATCTGTACCCAAGCAGAAGAAAATGAGGACACCAAACGAAAATGATGTTTGCTTGCAGATTAGGCATGGTTGGCCAACCTTCGCTGCATCCATCTTGAATTGACAGCGCAGCATCCAAAAGACAATATTTTGAAATCTGCCGAATCTTGATTGCATCATATTGGATAAATTTATAAAATAATTATCAACCACTACCTCTTTTTCAAGCTTAATTCTATTATGATCGAGTTCAATTATTATTACTTATTATTATTATTATCATTATTAAAAATTTAATTATATATAAATTTTATATAATATATTTACATAATATTTTTATTTTTTATTTTTAATTATTGAGATTTATTATAAAAAATAATTATTTTTAATAAATATAAATAAATTTTAATTATAAAAAATAAACAAATGAATAATTAAAATTTTACATATGTATAATATGTAAAATTTAATGCGTAAATTAATTCATAATTATTTTATTATTATTATTATTATTATTATTATTATTTTAAGTATCGGTGAATTTTGGAGAGGGTAACTTTTTTTAAAAAACAGTGTTGCTGACTTGCAGATGCTCGAACCCCCCAACCTGTAAAGGCTGATGCTTCGATCAATCAATTACTGTATATGATTATTGATATATAGTTTTTATGAGACAGGTCAATCAATTAAAACTATTATGAAAAAAGAACAATGAGAGGAAATGAGACTTCAAAGTTTAATTATATGAGTGAGAGGACGTTTGTTTTTCCATAGCTTAGTCAATCAGTCAATTACTTTATAGATTTTCTTCATATAATGGTTGATATTTGAGCTTGAGTTTAGAAAATTTTGACGGCCTAACGGAAATGAGGGTAAAAAAAACTGTCGGTGACGATACCAAACTAGTAGCTGCCGGCACAACTAGTCAATTGCATGATGATTGACGTATATAAAATTTAAGAGGTAGTAGGCACAGTTGGAAATTAAGATTACTTAAAGAGATTGCATTATTATTAAAAGAAGAGAAGAAGTCCTAAGGGGTGTCAAGTGTTTGTGTTTCCACTAGGTATGCCTTGCAATAAATAAGACATGAAATTGAAGGACACAGTAACAAAGAACGGCAATGATTAAAATAAAGTGAAGGCAATACTAATTGTCGGTAGATCTACCATTGGATTTGTAGTTGTATTTTTAATTTTTTTTCTAAGGTACTAGTGCTACATGCATGCGTAGGTATAATTATACAATATAACTTTAAGAGTTTAATTCATTTGATTAGTAAATTGTTATGAGAAGAAATTAATTTTAAAGTATGTATAAATTGTTTTGAAAAAATTTTAATTGTTCAAGAAAAAAAATAAAACAATTCAATTGATATGAATATCGATGATCCAAAAAAAGAAAAATATATGAATATCACTTTGTTTTGATATATTGATATATGATCTATGGATATGAATTGGAAAGTAATCTTAAAAAAAAAAAAGAAACAGTAAAGATGAGAAAAGATCATCATTGATATTTTTATTCAGGTCATGATCTTGGTATTTTTTTTATTAGCCAACATATAAAATTTTTATTAAGAAGTGAGTATAAGGGTTCTCAAATCTGTACAAGTAATTCAGCAATGATCAGACAGCAAAACCTAATTAACACAACCTGGCCTCACCATTGAGACAGCACAAACCAATTGGAAGTATAGATTAATTTCCTGCAGCTTCCAATGCTTCTCTAGGTGGACTGCTCCATGATCTGGGTACTTTGATGGAAAGCTTTGCATTGATTGCTTAATTAAGTGCTAATCTTGCTAAAACCAAGCAGTTTTTGAGCTTATTGAAGATTATTACTCAAGATACATTTTGAATTGAAATAGAGTTTTTATGACTATGAATTTGAAAGGGTTTAATGTCAATTTTGGTTTCTCAACTTTTAAGTTTTTGTACAATTTAAGTCTTTCAATTTTTTATATACTTTTTTAATCTATCAACTACAGTGTTTTGAAAATTGACTCGAAGGCCAAACTGTTTTGATTTTTGATCTTGGTTTGATTAGTTTAACCGATTAAATCATCTAAACCGATGGTTTAATTAAATATGATTAAATGTAAGATTGTGTAGTGATTTGACGTCGTAGGTGCAGTGCTTCTATTGGTTTCTCACTTAGCCCATTGCAGAGGAAACGCGGGTTCGAGTATATTGCGCGTCAAAATGTAATTATAATTATCCTTGTATCGAACTTATAATATATTAATGGGATTTTTCACATATAAAATGTACCATACATGTAATTTTTTAATTAA